TGCTATTCTCCAGTCAGCAGTCTTACCATTCACATGCCACTGGATCCCTTCCTCTGTCAGAAGTACCTCAGCTTTGAGATACATCCTCTGAAAAGAATGGGCAGGTTTTGCCTCTGTTTCTACCTGTTTTCTTAGATTTCACTCTTTGCTGTACCAAAAGGAGTTATTTGCTCGCTGCACACGTTTATTCCATTTTCTCTGGCCACCAGTCTTCTGGGAGTCTGTTTTTTCTTTAGAGTGAAAATACTCATGCATTTGAAGCAGAATTAAGCTATTCAACACAATGTAACTCCTCTGGCTCCTATGGACAGTTATCACCTGCTGCCTCCTCTCAAGGGTTCAGTTCATTGCAACCCCAGAGCAGCCTCAGCAGTGATCCTACGGCACACAGCAGCTTCCCTAAAAATGCATCCTGTGAGATCCCTTAACAGCCAGTCTCACAAAATTCTACTCACACAAGAGGAAGGACATTTTGGAAAAGCAGACAAAGTTAGTTTCTAATATCTTAAACCACAGAAGACAATTAAATTGATTAAATACCAAATATTTATTTTGCTAGTATTTCTGTTTTCTAGAGCACATGTGATGCCAAATATTTTATCTTCAAAACTAAAAGCACATTCAGCACTAAAGCAGAAAATATGCTTCCATGTTAGATTTTTTGAACTGTAGCTTAGACATTCTCACAAGTTCAGTGAACATTAGGATACCAAACTGCTTGACCTTGTTTCAGTACAGGTGCTATGCAGTACATGGAACTATAGAAATTGTAGGTATCTGCATGCCAGACAAATTCCAGAGACAGCACAGTGATGCCTAGCAGTAGCACTGCCTGGGGACTCTTTCAAAGAAGGCACTTATGAAAAATGGCCTTTTGATAGATATCAGTGTAGTAATTTTTTTTTCCTTTTGCCTCATTTAAAATCCCTGCTACACTGCTCTGGGTATGTACCCTTCATTACTAGGTCACTTCTTACCTTCATGCCTGTAATTGGAGAGTAATGATGCCATAATGGGCTCACAATGTCAGTGAGGTGCGAGCTGAATCAAAATCAGTATATTAGCCTCACCAAATTAAATTTGAATTTGCAGAAGGATATTCAAGGGATACAGATGTAAAACAGAGCTAAGTTATCCCCTCCACCCCAAAAGCGTGACAAAGGAAACTGAGTCTCATCATGAGGACATCAAATATTCTCTGTCCAAAATGAGGGTTGTGACTGCTGTGAGATTCCTTTAACCCTGGGAAAGGAGCTTTTTGAACCACACAGCACGTACTGGTTCTGCCTTGCAACTTCCATGTTCAAATTCTATACTTAAAAAATAACCACATCAAGAGATGAAACATTAGCAACTGCTGCATGACATTGAGATGGATAAGTACAGAGACTCTGCCACACTGACCTCAGAACACACGTCAGCCTGGAGCAGAGGAGGCTCAGGGGACACCTCATCACTCTCTACCTGACAGGAGGTTGTAGCCAGCTGGGGGTTGGTCTCCTCTCCCAGTTAGACAAGAGGGCTCCGTCTTAAGCTCTGCCAGGGGAGGTTTAGGTTGGATATTAGGAATAAATTCTTTCCAGAGAGGGTAATCAGGCATTCAAATGGGCTGCCCAGGGAGGGGATGGATTCTCAGTCCCTGGATGTGGCATCAGTGCCATGGGCTGGGAACCACGGCGGGGTTGGATCAAGGGTTGGATTGGATGATCCCAGAGGGCTTTCCCAACCCGGCTGATCCTGTGATTACACGTGTTTATTAGTGTGCACATCTGCAACAGGAGAAGGACAAACTGCAGAACTTTGTGCCCACACCTACCAAGAAACACAAGAACACTTCTCAAAGCCCAACCAAAATCATATTAAACTTACTTGCACTTGACAGCAGCAAAACAGAATAATGCCCCATTATCCCAGCTAAGCAGCCAGTGAAATACAGTGTCATTGAGCCACACAGACAGGCTCTGAAGCAAATGGAAGAGCCTGGACTGGAGCTCACAGACAGGGGGCTGTGCTTAGGGGCCAGCTCTCTGCATGCAAGTTATTTCAATCTCTACAATCACCATTTAATTTTTTTAAAAGCCTAGAATTTGCTCCAGCTAACACTGGCAATTTAGAAATAACATGATGCCTTAAGTCTCCAGTTCAGTTTTATGACAGGTCTGTAAAGCAGGTACCTCAACAATTCATCTCTTTTCCCTTATCACGTTTATGTGAACGTCTCGAATCCTACTGCTCTGAGAGTTATTGAATTAAATGTAACCATTTTCAGCCTATTTTCATTTGTTTGTCAGAGGTTCACTCAGCTATAAGTGCAACACTAGCTTATAGACAGATACCCCACGCTTCCTACATGAAAATTACAGTATCATTGTTTACTTATCCTGGATTGAAAGTCCTTATTTCAACTGTGCAAGCACTGCACAAAAGAAGTACAGTGTGTGCAAATATATAGCTCTGTTTTCATTTGTTTTGTCTTTCCTTTTTTCGCCTCAAAAGTCCACAGAAAATTATTAGTTTGTTTCTTCAGATGCAACAATTAATAATTCATTTTTCAGAAAGTGATTTTTAAGGGACCAAAGACAAGGCCAAAACATCGCACGAAAAGACACTAAAATAATTTCAAATAAGATTAATTATTCAAAAATGTAACTAAAATTCTTCCACAGTGCCTGGATTTGCAATAGTAAGTCACATAACTAGCCAGAAAGACCACATGAATCAATATGACCACCCTTTAACAGCTCTGCCAGTATAAAGGATGGCTGATGGCTGATTTAAATAAGTTTCTTTTCAACACAAAACATTCATTTTGTTTGAACTACAACTATTTTAACATAGGACTCAACACTGCTAAATCAAAATCAGTAGGAATTGCACCATTGATTACAGGGATAGAGCATCAGAATGTTTATCCCAGGCTCCAGGTCAGAAAGCAGCACAATTCCAGAAGCAGTTGTGGTATCTCAGAACTCACAACACTACTAACAATTGCTACAGTAAATTTTAATTAAAGCATTTTCCTCTTGTAGTTTCCCAAACATATGACATTTTTGCACTCATAACCTGCAGCTTTCCTTTCCAAAAGCTTACGCTTTAAATAAACACATCCAGAACAGAGGGAGCAAACAAAAGCTTTTTTCACTGTTAAGTCCTAGAAAATTATTTGCCTGCACATGCCAGAAACCTCACCCCTGTCTTTCTCTTACTCAGTTTTGGGGTACTCAGCTGAGTGGGGGTTGCTGTATAGCTTGTTTCTTCTCTTTTTAAGTGTTATTACTGCCCTCACAGCATTGTAAGATCGTCATGCCTGGCTACAGAGACCAGATTTTCAACAGATCAGTTCAGTTAGGCACAAAACCAAAATGGACAAATCTTCACAAGAGCTCAGAACAGTCAGTACTAACCTCTTTTGAAAATCTGCCCCAATTATAGATGCCAAGTACTTGAAAACCTGGCTCCAAGCTCTTAAAAATCCGTTTTCATATGCTCAAAACCCATACTACAGCCAATAAAGGGACTCCTGACACTGTTTTTCCACCAGGGGAGAAGCAAGTCAAGAGGTAACCTAGAACAGAGAGTAAATCTACTGAATAAATGCACTTCAAATGACAAAGCTTACTACTACTACGTTTACTGGCACAGTCCAGTTTTGGGTGTAGCTCCTTTTTTATTTTTATATTAGCCTGTCTGAGCCAGAACTGAAACCCCTCCCTCTCCATTTCCTCACTGGTGTCAGCCTGAGGTGTTGCTAGAGACAGCAGACAAGGGCCAGAACAATGAGCTGGCCCAAAAGAAAGTGTAGCTATCCCTCACACCTTTCTCTTCCTGTAACCAAATCAGGTTCAATGTACGTGAATTAACTGAGTTTACAAACCTGGGGAAAAAAGACAAAACAAGAATATTCATCCAACTGTAAATTTATACAGTTGTGAAAGAGAACATAACCATTTGCTGTTTCAGTGGGCTAGAATGTTATCACTTAGCTTTAACACACGCTCCAGGAATCACTTCCTAAAAGAAACTGTTGTGCAAAATGAGATTGAATTATACATTTTGAAGCTTTCACACCTTTAAACTTTCATATAAAATATGAAATAACAAGGCCAAAATTCTGCCCTCAGCACAATTCTTTGTCCTGAAGATATGAATAAAAGTTGTTCTTTTACTGGAGTTTCTTTGAGGATATTTGAATTTGCAGTACAATAGTTGTTCACACTTCTATGTTAAAATATAAAACTGAAACGACAGTTTTGGCCAATTCATACAGTTATTACAGTAGAAAGTCAGTTTCCATTAGTTCCCTGAACTGCCAGACAGAAAAAGTAGAATCATCACTTTTTTTTTGCTGTGATCAGACCTATATGGAGAAGTCTCCAAGCATTTGTTACGGAACTCTTGCCTCTAAAACATGTGCATGACATCTAACATAGAAGTGCTTGGCTTTTTACTTCTACCACCTGCCCTGATAATTTAAACATGTTATTTTCTTAACACAAACTATAGTGTTCCAAATACAGACTTCTCAAAGAGGCAATGTTAATTCTAGCTTATCTAAACACAGATGATTCTTATGAGAAAACAAAAACATCAGGGACTTAATGTAAAAACCTTCTAATACCCTAGCGTATAATTACATTATTCATTAGCAAGTGACTTCAAGTGGGTGTAATTTAATGTTTACTTCCTGTCCCTTGAGCAAACACAACACAGCATAGCTAATCAATTTGATCCCAAGATTCTAAAGTCTCAATAAAATCTGGCAGAGGCTCACCCCAGGCTGCCCTCGAGGATCAGGAGTGCTTATCCACCTTACAGGTTCACTCAAGGGGGAGGATGGCACATCCACGTGCTTCCTGCGCTTTCAGCATTTCTCAGTAAATTCAACGGAAAGAAATTGTCCTGCAAGACTTACTCATCACTTGCTGCTGCTTTTGCCTAATTCCGTGGTTTGTGGGCTGGGCTGGTCCCTCGTGAGGTGCCCTGAGCACCCCGAGCCTCACCTGGCACCTCCCTGCAACAGAACCTGGCACGGGCTGCTGGCTCTGACCTCAGCTTGGTGCGCCTGGGAGAGGAGCTGCACACTGGCACACATAAAAAAACCGAAAAACAAAGCCTATTAAAACAACGCTTATTTAGAAACAAATTATTTAATAAAACATTTAATTACTTAATAAAGCTTCTGCCATTCAAACACCTTTTTTGCTCCATGCTGCCAAGCAGGGTTAATTCCCGATGGCAACACCGGAGAAAGCGCCCTGAGACCTTTCCAAGAAAAACCCCCACCCTGAGGAGCGAGGGGACCCACGGCAGCTTTACAGGCAGAAATCCCGCGGCACCGCCCGCGTCTCCCGCTCACCGGCCCGTCTCAGCTGCCGCTCTCGCTGCGCTGGTCCGGCCCGTTCCCTGCCCGTCCGGCCCGTTCCCCGCCCGTCCCTCTGTCTGTCCCGTGCGGTCCCAGGCCCGACGGACGCGGGGCGCGCGCCCAGGCCTCGCGCGCCCTCAGGAGCCGCTAACGGCGCGCGCGCCCCGGCACGTGCGGGCAGCGCGGGCCCGCCTTCCCGCCGCGCGCTCTCCCATTGGCTGCTCGGGGCGGGGGCGGGGCCGCGGCCGCGCGCTCTCCCATTGGCTGCTCGGGGCGCGCGCTCTCCCATTGGCGCTCTCCCATTGGCTGCCCGTGAGGGCGGTGGCGCTGAGGGGACGGGCAGCTCCGGTCAGAGATGGCCCCGCTCCTCTGGGAAGGGGCAGCTGCTGTTTTCCTCCAGGCGATGTATTATCTGTACGTTATTCTCCTCAATGTTGTACTTGTTTGGAGGTATCTAACGTTGGCTCCAGAAGTAAAGTGTCGGTGCCTTCTTGACGAACAGCCTCGCTTTTACCTTACCTTTATCTTAACAATGCTTCGCAACAAACTTTTAACGACACTGTCTTTAAACCTGGGAAGAGGTGCCTTAACTGATTATGATGACTAAGCTCTGCTATCTTTACTGGTGCCAAATTGCCTGGCTGGCTTGCCGGCTATGTGCCCACTTGTGCCAGTTCCTAAGCTGGGCAGTGACTGAGGGATGGGCTCAGAGGACTGGGCCAAGGCCTGGCAGAGCTGCCCTGCCTGGAGCAGCTGATAATCCCCTGATGTAGGATGGCTGCTCCTGCTGCCTTCTGGCACTTTTGTTACCCGGCATCTCCCTGTGGCAGCAGTGGCTTTCCTGCTGCCTCCTGGCAGAACTGGAATGCAACAAAAAGCTAGGAAAGGGAAACTTGGGGTGGCCTCAGTAAGGAGGGAAATACCATGAAACTGTGTTTTTATTTCTGCTATATCTGTAGCTAAGTAGCAAGGCTTGAGGGATTGGGAGGGGTGCTGAGCTCTGTCAGCTGTCTGTGAGCCTGTTTCCAGCTAATGGAAAAGGCACTCAATTGATACACAGGTTCTCTGTAGTTTTCAGAGAGAATGGCTTCGTCTAAGACTTGCACTACCTGGCTCTCTAAAATAGCTTAATAGTAAATTTCGGTTGTCTTGCTGATGCTGACTCTTAAACTGTTTGGATTTTCTTCTCTGAACTGTAAACATATTAATTATTTTTATCAGTTACATTGACTTATTTTTGTCATTCTGATTATCAGTTTTACTCTCATTATGACATTACTGGTTTGTTTACATCTATTTTGTGTACCCAAAAGTCTGAGATGGGTACTTCATAATTATGTTGGCTTTTTGCATTAATGTGTGATCTATAATGTTTTGGAGCCATTCCATACTGTTTATTCAATTAGTTTGCCTGGCTTGTGTATTAAAAATCTTTCTGCATCTTGGACAGTAATCTAATTTTCTATATACCAGAAAGATAATCTTATTCTGTAAGAAATTTGACATGATTTTCAATATTCTATTTGTCCAGGCCATAGCTGTTTTTCTTCTGCAGGAGTGGTCAAAGACTCATCAGTGCTTAAAGAGTTTCAGGAGAGCTGTCTTCAGCAATGAGCTTTTTTCTTGAACTGTGCAGCTTAAACACTAATTATACAGCACATGCTTGATGAAAACAGCATGTACTGAAGCGTGTAGTAATGCTAAACACAGAAACACCATCACAGAACTCAGAAGGATGCAGTTTTCATCTTGTTCTCAATGAATGGCAGCAGTAATAGGCTGGAAAAGTCATAAGAAAAAGTAACTTGGCTAACAGAAAGTCAATATAGAAACTTTTTTTTAAATTTGGGTGCTTATTTTGGGTATTATACAAATCCTTTTTGTCAGAACTATTTCTTCTTACAATGGAATCAAAAATTTGAGATCAATTTTCATGAGAACTTGTGACACCTCCCCATGCCTGAACTCTTCAGTTCTCAGACTTGTTCTTCCTACAACCTCTGCCTCCCATGCAGTTAAGTCACTCTATTTCCAACAATATGTTATGGCCAAATTTTTCAGGATTTTTTTTTGTCAATGTAAAGAGGAGTGGATTGTACTAAAAATATTTGAAAGCATGCAGAAACTTGATTGCAAATATTTAGTGGGTCTCAAGATGCAGGTGTTGGAGTTGGCTGTTATGAATGTCTGGAATCTTACTGATAGTGAATTTGTAGCTGTGAGAAATGCAAGCTTTGTGGAAACTATTTTCCTCTTAGTAGACATGTTTAAATTGGGGGGAAGGGGTGGGGTGATGTCACAATTCTTAGCTTCTGACACCGCTTTTCATATTGAATACTAAGAGCTAACTTTTTGCAAATGAATTCTAGGTGATAGAATTATCTTTTCAGTGCTAATATCTATTGAGTATTTTCTGTACTGACATGTAAAATCTTTTTTTCTCACTTGTATAATTTGACATCTCTGTACTATTTGCTGCTGGTTTTTTCAGGTAATGTATGACCTTTTAATCATTCCATTGTCTATTTGCTTCTGCACTGGTACTGAACTGTCAGGCTTGGGGCCTTATCCCTTGCCTGCAGTTCTGCACCTCATCCCCATTCTACAGAAACTGTTGGAATTGCGTGATTCCGCTCCCCTCACTGACGTGCTTGGCAGCAGTTCCTTCATGGATAGAGCTGTTGTTTTTCCTCTCTACTGAATGTTCCAGCTCTTGCAGTGTCAGTTCCTTCACCAGCCATCTGTCTTACTGGCTCACTCACTATCTTAACAGCTCTCCTTCTCAGACTAGATGTAAGTCCCAGGGAGTATGCCATCAGATGTTAATTTTTTATTCAGAAGCTTTTAAAACAGTTGTTGCTGCACACAAATACCCTGTATTTCAATCCTCTCTATTCAGTCCTTGGCAATTGGTTGCTTTCTTCAGCCTCATCCTTTTTCCAGGTTCCTTTGCAACTTGTTTGTCTATCACTTCTTTTCCTAAATTTTTAGAGTCATTTTCTTCAATTTGACAGCCTAGTTTGCCCCTGAATTCTGTCTGGAAAGTGCAGGTGTGAATGCAAGGAAGGTCTAGCCCAGTTCTTTTCGTTGTTTCCCAGTAACTCTACAATCACTGAAAGAAGCATCTAAGTACTCTCAGATATTACAGAAGTCAGGTAATGGCTCTTGAGAAGTGTGAGATTGATACCTTCTGTTAATAAGTTAGATAATAACTTCTTTGTGGGGGTATTGGTGTTACAGATGGGATAGATTGTCTTGTAGCTCAGGGGCTGGCATATTGCTAAACAATCTAGCAATCTTTTTGATGAAAGGTTCTATTTGCTTGTAAGCTAGTCAGGCCTGGATGCAAAATCGTTTTATGAAGCCCCAAGAGTATAGTATTCCTTATTATAGGAGCAGTTTGGTTTATTTTTGTACTCTATACCTGCTTTATAATCTTCCAATAGCTAAGATTCAGTCAGATAGTGTTGAGAGCTTTATAAACCACTACTTGGGTTAGTGCAATTTCAAGTTAGAGAAATGAATCACACAGATAATAACTTCAATAGAGACATACCAGATTTTTTTTAATATATATTGATAATTCTTTCTCAGACCCTCTGCTCCTTTCCTGGACAAATTCAAATATTGTTTACTGCTAGTGTATATTAGTCAGCCAAGCATCTGCTCTGGCAGCTGTCCTCATGAAGAAGGCCCCAGAAGATTAAAACTCCTGGGACACTGATAACATGTTAGATGTCACTGTTTGTCATCTTCTAGGTATCTTCCATACTTCTTGTTTCTTAATGATAAAGAAAACTGAGTGTGCTTACAGCAGTAACTAATAACTAGCAAACTGGATTTTATTTCCCCACTGTACCTATAACCTCCAGCAGAAATTTAGACCTGTCATGTTGTGCCTCTAGTGAGGGACTGTCCATATGAGAGAGGTTTGTTCCAATCTAAACCTTTGCCACTCCAGAGGTCTCTTCCCATTGTGATGCTGTTATGCTGGTAGAAGTGTGTTCATAATAGATCCCTCTGTTCTGGGCTAGAAAGTTAAAACTGTATTATTATATTGGTAACAGAATTTATGCCAGTATAATAATTGCAGAGGTACAGAATAATCTTACTAAAAGTTATACAGTGTCGCTCTGGTATTTTTTTGTGCACAGAAAGTGAAAACAGTCAAGTAAGACAGCAGCATGGAAAAGAGTGAGAGTGTTGATTAATTTTTTTTCTGTCTTTCTCTCAGACAAGTCAACTTCCTAATGCCAGGATGTGACTTCCAATAGGAAGGTAGCATAGTGCTAGTCTTTGTCTCCAAAACCATACTGAGTGAGGTACTCAGGTGTGGTCGTGACAAGCCTTAGAATTAATCATAACCATGAGAGGCAAACAAATTTGAAATATACTTTTTCTCATTAAGTGAAGCTGCAGATATCTTATGCTAAAAAGTGCAAGCAGTCAAGTCCAAGAAAGCTGGAGACAAAAACTGGTGAGCTACAGCTTATCTTCCCTGCTTGTTACTAGGATATACTCTGTAGTCTGGATTCAAACTAAGCATTATCCTATTACTATTAAGGGATGTCATCGTTGTTAGGTGAGCATACTGTCTATGAAAATTTACTGTGCTGGAAATAACATGTAAACTTGCTTCAGAAGAATAAAACTATTCACCAGAATGTGATTGGAAGGGTATTTTAAGAGCAGATAAAATCTACTTACGTGCTAGGCTAGAAGGAGCTAGCTGCTACTTAGCATGCTATTAACTAAAAGGAATCTCAATTAATTCCCTCTACAAAAAAAAAAAAAAATTGTTATGCCTTTCAAGTTTTCAAGATTTTGTGCTTTAAGTAATTTCAGTTACCAAAGAGAATTCTTGCTAACAAACCAGTCAAAATTTGAACCAATACAGTTAAGGAAGTGTGAAGTGAATAAAAACTTAATTTTTGCATTAGGCTAATAAACTCTTTCCATCATGGAAAATACAGAGGCTTTAGCTTCATCATAGTTTTTACATTGTATTCTAATTAATCAAAACTATCTGAGTAAGTCACACTTCCAGCTGGCAAGACATGC